TGAAAAGTTTTAATAGCAAGATGTAAAATCTATTTTATAATACTAAGGGAATTAACCCATTTTGGTACTCTCTGCTATCTGGATATACACCTCTGAATTATCCTGAAGAGCACTTTTTAATTTTAAGTGGAAGTTGTGTATTTCTTTGTTTATAGAATGTGTTATAAATCAAGTTGGGAATAGACACTACGACTTTAAAGATGTCTATAACTGATTCCCATTTTTTTCCCCAATTCTCAGGTATAATGAAGGATTTTTTTTTCAACAATCACTCCTTTTTTCCTCTACAAGCTGCTGAACTCAACGACCAACTTTAACAGCAAGTCTGTACTAAGTAAATGCAGACATGAGTCTGAAACATGATAGAAGCCACTTAAGTACATCCTTCACATAATCTGATTTTTAGGGATTGCACAATCTTAAAATTTGTCACAGTGCAACTTGGCTGATGTCCCTTGTTGTCTCTTAAAAATACCAGAAGCTATGTGTTGGACAAGTATGTATTTTAAAAAGCAGCATTTCTGAGAAATGGAACTACAGTCAAGAATAAAATAGAAAGAATAAGACAGTAGCTTCAGCCAGAAGTTGAAGGGTGTAGTCTTGTTGATATTTCATATAAGCCTCTGTGTGTTCCTTAATCACAGAAAAACCAGCCACCACACAGTCATTGCAAGGATCACCAAAAAAGACATCATAAAAGGAATGCGTGGAGAAGAAAAAATGTTAGAGTACAGGTGACATGTTTTGAATGTTTTCTCCTCCTCAGGAACTGGAATAGAAATTTTGGCCTGGATTTCTTCAGTTGCTCGGTGGGGTAAAGTTCCCTCAGTAGCTTTCTCTTGCTTTTTAATATAGTCTTCATCCTGCACTAACAGAGGACGTTCCTGTGTCTGCTTTCATGGTAGGAGATCAAGAAAGACAGAGAGATGAACAAAATGACTGATGAAAAATGCTCAAAATGATACTTGGGGATATGCAAGGACGCAAATTATAGAAATTATCAGATGTTTTGTACCAGCAGCACAACTAACTCCTCGTTAGTCCTAAAAGTGGGAACCAAATTCCATGGAGAAATTAGCTAACTGGGTAAACAAATTCTGAATTGCTAATAATTCTCTGTGCAGAAACTCATGTTAAATTAAGTCTATCCATGTGCTAAAATATATCTTCAAGAGTTAAATTATAGATAATTATGTATGTAATACCGTTGCTTTACAAAGAGAACTGATATCATACAAAATATTGGTTATAACTTTCTATGCTATCCTGAAATTCAAAATTGTATTATATGTTAGATCTGATATTTCAGCTATAGCATAATTGTTTGAATATTGAAGGTATTGTCATGGAAGATACCAAAATGTCCACTCCCACATCGCACTGTGATTAAGGTGCAAAGTATTCAGTTTCTTAAAATCAAAGAAAATGCAATATGCTTGTCTAAAATTAAAAAGAATAAAATTTTATTCTATATTTTCATTTATCCATGACATCAGTGTGTAAAGAATTTAATATAAGTAGTATTTTGCAGTATTATGTGAAAACTAAGCATAGGCTGGAGAATTCTGAAGTTGCTTTTCTTTTTCCATGTATGACAAATGAAAGTTGCTATCTAAGACAGGAAAAATTTGGCTCTAAGCTCTCTCAGCTGACTCAGTCTTCTTTGATCAATCTGATATTTGGGGACAGAGTCTTTGCACACCCCTAAGTAATGGAGATCAGGGAGAAAGTAGCTGGGAGTCTGGGCAGCAAAAAGAAATGATAAAGTATGCAAGAGTAACATGAGAATTAAAAGAAAAACATGAAAAGAGAGGAAGACAACATAAAAAGAATAGGGTAGAGTTAAACTTTCATAATTTCTCTCTCTCCAAGTTTATGGCAACATCTTCATGCAACTTTGTCAACCAGCCATGCGCTGAAAGAAGCAATTGAAAAGCTGCAAAAGCTTGCAGCACTGCAAATACATTTAAAATGTTAGATCAGAAGGCTGTGAGAGATGACATTATTGAAAAGGCAGCCCAAACAATGCTACTTAGCAGCTGCTGTTGAGGGTTTTGGTTTGCCAGTGCCAATGCAGTACAAAAGTCTGCTTTCGAAGCATGTATCAAAACAGCAGCTTTACCTCTGGCCCACCGACCTGTCTCTCACAGGGCTGAAATGTGGCTTTCTTGACCTGGACATGCACAAAGTATGGAAAGTTCAGTTGTATTTCAAAGTAGAAAAGACAGATAAACCAGAACTAAACTCCATTTTATAGACTATTAAGATTACAATAGTTAAATTTAAAAATGAAGAGTCCTATGACTAATAATTACAATACATCCTTCTGTATAACAAAGCAAGTTAAGAAACTTCAAGATATCTGTGTATTAAAATTATTAATTCTAATGAAAAGTCCACTAATAGTTAATTTCTGAAATACTGAAGGATCATTCATGGGAGATGATCTGAGGACTGTATTCTTCTGAAATGCCCTCAAATTACAATAATACTTTCATATAAGGAAAATACACATTATTCTTGTTCAACTTTTATATAATTAGAACAAAACTTTGTAAAGCCAACTTAATAGCATTCTGTAGCAACGCTACTCTGATCAGAACTTCAGGAGCCAATCATGAAAAGGCCTTCCATGCTGTTCCAACTGTTATTAATATGAATTCAAAATTCCTATTTCTGTATTTCAACAAAAAATGCAATCAGCTGCAAAATAAAATCCAAAATCTTTTTCTCTCATTTTCTCCATTCCAATCCACTTAATAATTTTGGATATTCTTAAGGCAAGTCAACAAACAATTCTAGATGCTTTGAATGTGAAGTAGTAATTACTGCAGCTGAATGTAAACTTCAATTAAGCATGTGCTATCATACTTTCATTAAGAACCAAAGAAAGAAAGGAACTGGGTACTAGCACTAATCTACAATGTCTGGAGAAAAATTCACATATTATTATAACAGCTATTTTCTATAACAGTTCTCATGCACATTATTATTGCACAAGCAGAAAACTATTATTAAATTTAGCTTTTTTCACCGAGCAAAACACAGCTCATCTTGAAAAGCTAAGCCCACCAGGAACTCTCAGGCTGTTAGATATACTGGGAGGTAAAAAAAAAAAAAAAAACCCAAGAAGGCAGCAACGGCCAATGACTTTCATATAGTTCCAAAGAGAAATATATGTGTAGGTATAATATATGTAATTAATATCCTGCCAATCAGGAGCCCAAAGCAGTGAGTCCAGAGC